AAGATATGTTTGAAATGGAGATGAAGAAATATAAATTGAAGATTTAGACAGCAGCTTACTGATTTAGCTGGCTACAAAAAAACGTCTCCAAAAGGAAGGGCTAGATAGAAGCCATAGCAACTGGAGTTTAGAGCAAACGTGAAGAATGGATGAGAGGAAAGAATTCTACCATAGCTCTTTATGGGAAGAGACATGATTTTAGCTAATAGGACTTCTCGATCTTAACTTACTATGATATGGTAAAAAGACTGTGGGAAGGGATACTCCCGTATCTGGCAGTAAAAACTATGTATTTCACTAGGATCTTAAAATAACTTAAAAAAGAAACAGTACCAAGGCAAACTAGACTTTTAAAAGGATCTAACAGGATACTGAATCCATGTAATTAGTGATCTTATCATATCCACACAGCTTTCACCAACCACACCTGCTAACCAAATTGTGCTTTTCTCATAAATACTCTTTTATTTCTGCCTCTTACCTTAAGAGGCTGATACCAGAATGCTAGCTCGGAACCGGGGCTGAAGAAGTGCTGATTGGTGCACCAAAGAATATCCTCATCACTGATTTTTCCTTGCATTATAACATGGAGCAGATGACAACGACAAACAAGAGTTTTATATCAGCTGATAAAGCAGCTCATGTAATGATGCAGCTGAGATGACCCTCTCTGAATCATGAGCAGTCTGGAGAGCAACTTAGAGAGTCTGAAGGTGAATCAAGCAGTTTCTCCCAGAGACAAGTCTCTCCCCAGTGCTGGGCCACTAGATGAATAGCTCAGTGCGACCCCTGTACACTGGGAAAGCTCTACCAAAAGTAATAATAATCAGAGGGGCCTTTCAAAAAAGCAAAATTTAAAAAAAGGGGGGGGCGGCGGGGGGGGCCAGATATAGACAGAGGAAATGGAATGAATTCCACTATGATCAAATTATCCCCCAAAGTGAAAAGGTTTGAATAGCTATTTTTCATCTCCTGCAACAGAAGCCACCTGAATACATGGCCTAAAGCTTGAATCCAGCCCAAATTTCAGCTTTAGAAATTACCTAGTTTTGCCTGCTCAACTGTCTTTGTGCATTATCAACTGAATACGGCTTTTAACATTCCAAACTACCACTGAATAGCTGTTGTGCTCCGCTAATGAACAAAGCAAGACACACATGTTCTCTTAACTCTATTCACCAGTTTGCAAAAAGATGAAGGTTTTTCCTTGCATACTAAATGAGTCAGCATGGGTCACAGTTCAGTTCTCCCACAAAGAAGTAGTACAGAAAGATAATTCCATTGCCAAAATAGGCCTACATATATATAGAAAGCTCATTAATAAATAGCCAACAAAAGCCTGTTTGACAAAAGTATGGTAAGCCTCACCTTCAGTCTGTGAGTATGATGTGAAGCCTGGCTCCTACCCTTCCTGAAACCACTGGTGGCCCCTCTCCTAGAGGGTAGCTGCTTTTAGGAATGTTAGGAAACGATCCTGAACCCTCAGCTGAAAAACTCCCTCAGCAAAGCCAACTGCAGTACCACAAGCAATATGCATATTACCCTAAGAAGTACAAAAGACCTACTAAGTACTATGAGTGATATCTAGACTTAGGTCACCACACACAACACTGAATGTATTTGTCATCATATTTGAAACCAGAGTAAAGTTTCACAATTCTGTTATACTTATGTTCTCCTCCATGTTTGCATACCTCTGTAATAAATTCCTACACATGTTTATTATTCAAGTAGGCCTGGAGCATGCTACCTCTTTGCTACACAGCAACCACCTACTATGCTAGAGCCAAAATGACACAAAATCACTGATGAAAACACACAGAAACAGAATTACACATGCACTCACCCTCATAGAGGTTTCTCCACCGTGGGGCTGTTGCAGCCTGAAGACTTGAGCAACCATGTGTTCTGTGGAAGGGTGCAACAGGATACGTCGGGAAGCCAGTCCCACCATTACGTATCTGCCCATTGGAGACAGGCTCACAGAAATGGCATTAGGGCCTATAAAGAGAAGAGGAGTTATTTCTCTCACAGGTTGACATCCCTCCCCATGCCTGATCCTCACAGCTTCTTCGTTCCCTTTCAGCATTCCCATAATGTACGACATACTAAAGCTCATCCTTATAAGGGGTAGAGAAGAATAAGGAGACCTGCACAAGAACAAATTTTGTGAGATGTTTCCTTGCAGCCAATGTCCTCCCACTATGACAATGAAGTTCTTTAAGGAACAAAACACTATCCCTTAGCAGCACCCCCATACCAGCATCTTACATGTCCAGACCATACCACAAGCTTCTCCCCAGCAGTACTATATTTGTGGCTGGTTGGAAGGTCAATAAAATATTTCCTGTTACTACGATCACCGATGTTCAGACTACTGCATTTCTCACTGAAGGCTGAGTTCTGAGGTAACTTCTCACACACACACTCCCACTCACCCTGACTTCTTGCTGCATGCTTACCAAATCGCTTTGTGTAAAGCATCTCGCCCAAGTTGTGGGGTGCCAGAGAATACACAGCCAGTATTCCCTCATCAGGGAAGCCTCTTTGACTGCTCGGAATGAAGGCTGCCAGCAGCTGTCCATCGGCAGAGATATCGCAGCTAGCATCATTGTAAATCTTGCAGTTTTGAACAAGCACGTTCACAGAGGCTGCAAAGAAGAAAGAAAGGAACAGTGATTGAAGCGCTCACATTCAACAGAGAATAAAGCAAGATTTAAACCTAACATTGGAGACCGGACAGTACATGCAAAAGACAATCAAGACATTTAGCTTCCTCCAAAAGTTTATGAAATGTTAATGCCCTGATTAATGTAAAACTTGCTCTAAAACAGAGATAAGACACTGCAATGAGCCCAGGGAATGAAATCTACTCACCTCCTGCAGCCTTCAGCCAAGAAATAGTGGCAAGTGCACTTTATCAAACCCCTCCTTTGTTGAGCATAACACCATCCTTTGTAAAGGACAGCACAGTTTAAACAAGTCCCAAATCATGACACTGACAAACTCCAGCAGTGGTATCATTGGAAACAGTACACCTTAATTCATTTCCCCTTCTCTTGTGGAACCCCTAGTTCCAGCTGCCCTTATCTCCAATAAACAGGAGATGAGAGAAAAATTCCTCCCTGCAGATACAGACATTCATTTCTGACAGCTGATTTTTACATCAGTCTTGGATAAAGCAAGTGAGAAAGGGCAGACTTCTCCAGCCAGTCCTCCACTTAATTACTCCAGTATTTGAGACATTCATGCAATCGGTGAAGTATCTGTTTAACAGACAGGGTAGTGAGCAGCAATTCAGAAAATCTAAGTTTTACTTTAATCTCTACTGGTGAGTTGCTGGGTGACCTCGTACAAATCTTTTCCCCTCCATGCCTTGCACACGCAGCCCATAAGCCCATAAACTCTTTGGGCTACTGAATCTTACTATGCACTTGCACCATTCCTAGTACAGTGACGTTCCAAGGCCTTTTAGCATCGTCATCGCCAACAGCTCAATGGTGGCTTCATAAGACAAGTTATGTTCGCTCCCTCAGCCTAACCTAAATGTGCTCCAGTGTTTCACTAAAACTGCTGCAATTATTCCAGGAGGTTTGGAGCTGAAACCGCATACACTATTTTGGGGATGGGGGAATTTCAGATTCTAGTATTTTCAACCTCAAGGGGATAGAAACATAAAAAAATAGAAATAAAGCCCACATTTGCAATATAGAAGCATTGCATGTGAGAAGACTGAACACCCTGTCTCACATGCTTGAAGCTATAGCATCACGTGGAGCACTATGTCAACTTCTACAGTCCAGGAATTCTCTTCTAAACTTTCAGACCATGCCCAGCCTAGAAGTGGCTTTGATTTGTTCAGCTAAAATTGCAGATGAGTTTATGAAGGCACCTCTTGGGCCAGATTCCTTATTAGTTTAACAAAAGAACAGTGCCAAGAATGCTTTGTGCATACTTCTGAAAGTCTGAACTTCCAAATCAAATTAAGGCTGTAACTCAATGCTTTAACAAACTGGCGCTGCTGCCAGAAGAAATAATCCCTGCCCTTTGTTTCCAACACTTCCGTGGAAAGTAAGCTACATCAGGGAACTGATATGGCTGAGAAATTACAGACTGTTGTCTAGGTCACTTTTTAGCCAGAACAGTTTCCCAACCTGGCACATCACATGGCCACATAGATGCAGCAGCAGAAAAAGAAGTCATCACAGGGAAGCAGACAGGACCGCTCCTTCTTCCAGCACTGCTGATTTAAAGTGCTCGCTGAACCTCGTCTTCAGTTCTTCTGGTCTCAAAGACATTTTTCCTGAACTGCTTTCCTACCTGGTTGAGTATCAACTTCTACTGTTCCATTTAAGAAACTCCGATGAAAAAGACAATGAGGATAAAAAGTGGACTATGTAATTACATTCTGTACCAAACCACCTATACCTGTACTCTAAATTTATGCAATCATTTTTTTCAGTCTCGAAGCTGCTAAAACCAGTAATTTTCAGCCTAAAATAAACAGAAAGGTGCTGAACAGAAAAAAGGTAAATAATGGTAGTCACTGTCAGTGCTGTAATAACAGAATCTAAGATACACACGGCCCTTCAAAGAACAGACGGTCCAAAAGATGACAAAATTCCCGAGTGCTTAGTCTGAAGCTAGTTGAACAGAAAGACAACAGAATAAAGATTAAAGACTCTACTACCTAATTTTAAAAAAGGTAGAATTAAAATTTGCCCTTTTTTTTAAATCTAGGCTTCACTCGAGTCCTCATTATGTCATCACAAGAGAAGATGGGCATCAACACAAGAACTGCAGGATATGCTGTGAACTAGCTAAAGGATACACGACAACAGGTTGCACTATTGTAATCCCCATCAAACTGGGAGGATTCCTGCAGAGTTCTTCAGTGACTCATTTCAAAACCAGTCCTATTTATTAGCTTTATCAATGAGCTAGGCACACAGTGGAGCTGGTTGATGAACTCTGTTGATAAAGTTAGGTAATTTCATTAACAGAGCACGATCAGACCACACAGTGAACTGAAGTACACAGAGACATAACAGAAGTGAAATGAAAGAATTCTAGAGCCTGTTAACATTTATAAATTTCTGCTTTACCTAGGAGCTTCTCAGTTGGAAACAAGAGAGAATCAACTTTGGTGATCAAGCAAAGACTAAGCCATCCAGCCGGCATAACAGTGAAAGAGGTGGCAATCCTAAACTGCCCTAGGGAGCACACTTGCAACAGAAATGCCAGTGCTAATATACAACTTTGTGCTGAGACCACATGCAGGATACTGGGCAGAGTTTTGGTCAGCCATGTTCAAGAAAGATTAAATCCTAAACGGTAACAAGTCCAGCAAAGAGCTATGAGTATGACTGGGGAAAATGAAACATGTATTTTATGGTTTTTTTAAAAAAAAAAGAAAAAAAAAAGATTGCGAGGAAATGGGATTGTATTTACAAAAAATACCAGAAAGTAAGTACCAGAAAAACATCAGTTCTCTTCACAAATAATGTTGACAGGTGAGTAAGTGGGTAAAAGCAGCCATTAAGTTTGGAAATTAGAAGATTTCTGCCAGAATAGCAAGATTCTAGAACAGTCTTTCAACAGAAGTGAAAGGGGCAAAGAATTTAACCAATTTTAAGACAGACTAAGAGGAACTATAGGATGCGCTTGCCTAAGACAGCAGGGAGCTAGACTCGGTGGCTAAGGGTGTTCCTTTCTCACCAATTCCTTTCTAGTTGTAATCTAATCAGCAGTGATCTAAAAAATTGAAGGAAGGGAAAAAAAAGGAGGGGGGAGGAATGGGAACTTACTGTACAGGTGAATATTAGGACTCTCCCAGCCAAACCTGAGTTAACTACTTAAAAGAGAGCCAAGCAAGAAGACCAGCAACAGAGCAAAACTACACATTACACATGGAGAGCATTGCCAGAGATACAACTATGAAATGCCCCCACCACCACCTGCGCAAAAAACTTTGATTATTAGAAGAGAAAATACAGTTCAGTCCCTTTCTTTGGGGTCTAAGAACTGTTCTCTCTCATTCCTATTCTGCTAGATATCTAAGTTTTTGTCCTGCATCTCTGGTCTCAGGATGAAGTTTCCATGAGGGTTTCTCTACAACGTTAACTATTGTCATTTGATGCTCAGTATTGGAAGTAGCAAGATTGTATACTTGCTTCATCAGACCAAAGGTATGGGTGTCATTTAGCCCAGGGACCCTTCTGTACTGATGAACTCCTGGTGCTTTTCAGAGGTGCAAAAAGTTTTAGAGGGGACAGATAGTGATTTCTCTGGGCACAGGTGATGTTTCTTCCTTGTTCCTATAACTATTGAAAATCACAGTCTATAGAGTCCATGTCTCTTCTCAGCTTTTAAAGTTTGGGGTTTTTTCAATCTAATGCAATCTTGGACATTCATAAGAAAAGAATCCCACATCTTTATTTCTGTAACGTAAGAAATGCTTGTATTTCTTCTGTACCATTTACAGATTCAGGGACATTGCCATGTCTTGCACATGTCCTCCGAGTTCCATGGGTATTTTTTTCCTTTCCAGGTCTCTAATCCTCTTCTTCATCTAGCATTTACTATATGTCTTTTTAAAACAATGTTGGGTTTGGATCACCAGTCACCAAGAGTCTCTTTATCATATAGCTACACGGTTTTTCCTTTTTTTTTTTTCCCCCACCCGCCCCTCCTTCAGCACAGCACAGAGGTTTTTGGTGAGCAGTCCGCAATGATGGCCAACATGACTGCGCGTCTTGTTCTTTTTAAAGTTTGTTGCATATGGTGAATGCCTCTTAGCAAAACAGATTGTGAACTCCCCTGCCAGAAGTGAACTATCTTTCCCCCTTGATGTGTGCCTGGAACATAAAAGATCACAGATGCAAGTTGTGCTGAACAAGAAAGAGTGCCTTTTATTTCAGTCTTTCAAGATCTGATTCACGCTGGCATTATGGTTCTTTGCTCTTCCCTCATTTACAAAGGATGAGGGACTCAAGTAGCACTTATGCCTAGAACCAAGGGAGCCTACTATGCTACCAAAAAAAGTCTAGCTGTGAGAGATGGAGATCTCAGCAAGGTTTCGTTTTAAGGAACAGCATCTAAGAGATTCCCAAGACTGGGGAGGATGAAGATACCCATGCATTTGACAAAGCCACAGGATATTTGACTTCTTTGAGCCTGAGGCCTGATCTATAAAAATGAAGCCAATACAGAAGATTGTTAGGGAAAAAAATTGCTATTTTTGGAAAACCATTTACAACAAGGCTGCCCTTTCATCTCTTGTTTTCTTTTGTTGTTAATGCATCCACCGAGCTGACAGAACAGATCAAAAGAAACATCAGAGAACAAATTAATCAAGCTGTTGTGCCAACTTGGAGTGCTTACACCTACAACACAATTACGCTTGATGCTGGGGAAGGCCTGGAACACCGGCAGCAACAGCACTGTTTGCCAAAGGAAGATAGTGCTGGTTGCACCATCCACTCCTAGCCACCCTTAAGGATGACACCTTCTTAAAAGCTGCTCCTATTTATATGTTGTTTAGCATGCTTTTATTTCTTCCTTTTTTTCTTTTAAGTTCTTCTGCATCCCACTGTGGATCAGTAAGTATTGATCAAATCACCTTCCTCAAGTCCCAGCCAGTGTCAGAACAGGACAAATTCCTGATGCGTGACTAAATGTGGAAGAACTAGACCAGTTCAGCCACAATGGCTAGAAAATGAAATAACGAGCAGCGAGTAGCATGAGAGAAACTATATTCGAAAGATAGAAACGAGAGACAAAACCTTCCAATATTTTATCTGTGGAAAGGCTATATTCTACACTGTTCACCGATTCAATACTTACCTGGTTAGCTGTGGGAAATTTTAAGGATCTGCAACACTTACTTGAAGAATGTTAAATAAATGCCAGAGATAGCATCGTCTCTGCTGCCAAATAAATTCCCCACCCCAAAGCTGATACGACTGACAATTACAGTTTAAGACCGGGTCATGTTCATTTCAGAGTTATTAAAAGCAAAACTGGCAACAGGAGGGAAGAAATCTGAAGCCATCTTTTTCCATTTTGCAATTAATAGAGAAAGACAGGGCAGAGACTCAAATCCCACAAGTCCCTGCAGAGCCACTTCCCCAAGACCGTCAGAGTCCTCTTTCGTGCGTCTGCTGGACCGAGCGTTAGCGAGGTCGCTGCTGCGGAGCAGAGTCCTGCGCCCAGGGCTCCGAAGGGTGCCGGGGCCCAGCCGCTGAGATCGCAGGACTGGGCTAATCAGGCTGCTGTCGCTTGCTCAGATGCATCCGTTCCAGTGGAAAACATCCTATTTCCAAACTATCTTTTCTTTGTTTAATTGTAACAGGAAGAAGAGCTGCTCGGAGATGGAGGTTGGCCACAGAGTCCTTTCTTTGATGGAGAGTGGAGCTGGCAGGCAGTCCCAAACTTCAGCTGCATCATTTCATCTGCCTGAACTCCCAAACCACTTGTGGCTCAAGTCAGTCCCAGGAAGTGCAATAGCCCCCTCTGCGTAAGCAGACTCTCTCACATGACCACCTCTGATTTATAGGAAACCATGGAAAAAAAAGGAGCTATTGAGGTCACAGGTTTTACTGGGAAAACAGTTTATTTCCAAGCTCGTGAAGAGTCAGAAAAGACTCCTCCAACCCACCACTCCACTGTTACACATTTAGCTTCACAGTATCTCTACAAATTTGTGCACCTCGGCAAACTCGCAGCTTGCCTTTGTTCTGTGCCTAGTCAAGCTTGGCAAATACCTGTTGTAGGATGAGCACAGCTGCTACATCTTCATACATCCCTACTAGACCTTGGCAGAGGGAGATACGGCTAACAACCTAGAAATGCCAGAGTTGGGCTCAGCATACAAAAAAGAAGCAGCAGAGTAAAACCGAACATTTCCAAATGGTAATAAAGATGGACAAGCCAAGTGCTACGAAGCACAAAGTGGGGAGTCAGAAGGGATGGGGATGGGCTTGTAGCAGGAACCCTGCCTGCAAGAAGGGCACAATTACAACAGAAACTGTAGCCCAATTTCCAGCTAATTGGAAGCTATTTCAGAATGGAAGTGTCCTGGCAGGGGAGAGGGAGAAGATTGAAATACTGATGTCTTGAGAAGCAGATGGTTCTATTTTCTATGGGATTCCATAAATTATAAACAAACATCTTACACTTTTTTTTTTTCTTTTTTTTTTTTTTTAAATCAGCAGCCTTCTCCTCAGCAGCCAGATGAGACCAAAAAAAAAAAAAGCTATTAGCAGCTGTAGCACTCTTCAAATACTTTACAAGCTTGAAGAGAAGTCCCAAAGAATTTAAGTCAGCAGCAGGATGCTTCCCCCTCTGACTTCATCTTTATTCTGTTCCAGAGTCTGGCTGGACCACGGAAAGTATTGCCACTGCCTGGCAAAACTTCGCCTTGAGCACTGATCCTCAGCCTACAATCTTACACTAGTACTACAAAGTTTGGCACTTAACAAGACACGTCAATGCACTGGCACACAAGTTCAACACAGTATTCTACTTTCAAGAGGACGCTGTGTGCTCCTTCTCAAGAGACAGAATGGTTCTCCAGGACAAAATATAAAGCATCTTCCCCCTTTTCACTGTCAAGGGCTACTGCCTAGAAGCAAGGCTTTTATTCCCCACCAGGCTATAAACATCACACCACAATATTCTATACAATGTGAAGGAAGGAGATGAGACAGAAACACCGGACACTTTATCTCTAGGAACAACACAGTAAGAAAGCTTTTTGTAATGGGATGGGCTACCGGTGGCTTTCCCCCAGCTCCTCCGATTTCCCAGAGACAGGGAGGTAAATGGCCCCATACAGGTTGCCCAGAGAAGTTGTGGATCCCTCATAATTGGAAGTGTTCAAGGTCAGATTGGAGGGAGCTTTGAGCAACCTGACCTATTGAAAGATGTCCCTGCCCATGGCAGAGGGGGGTAGACTAGATGATCTTTAAAGGTCCCTTCCAACCCAAACCATTCTGTGATTCTATGATTTCAGTTCCCACATCTCTGCTGCTATGGTGTCACTACATGTGCTCCTTTTGTGGGTTCTTTAAGCAACAGGACAGTACCCCACAGAGACCTCTCGTCAGGTATGTAATTTCTAGAATTGCAGAACAGACAGGGCTGGGACTGGAAGAAACTTTTTCTTAATTCATTTCAGTGGCTACCTGTGAAAGCAGAAGTCTTTCTGAAAACAGAATCCCTGTTCTCCCTGAAAAGAAGTCAGTCCCTTAAAGCAGAACCCAATCTGGTTTTGCTGAGAATGAAGCAATGAATTTCACAGAGATGGCCTAAGGTAAAAATCACTGTACAAAGAAACATTCATGAGTATCTACCTCCTATCTTCATCCCAGGCTGCCACAAATATTTCTGCAGCTGTACAGCAAGCTATATCAGGATACTATTCTAGCCTTTCTAGTCAAGTTCGTTTTAGCCCCAAAAAAGTCATTCCTTTATCAGCTGACCACAAACATCAAATATTCTTGTGCCTGCATAAGGAAGTCTATTCCAGTGCGAGAGCTAGCTTATGCCATAGAACATATGTAAAACTATGGTCTAATTTTCACAAAGGGAAGGAGAGAATAAATAAATAAATAAATAGAACCAGCAATATTGCTCATATTCTTGACCCAGAAGCAGCTTTCACCTGAGATATGGGACAAATCACTGCTTTTGCAAATGACTAGAAGCTACATCTACTTCCCCTGGCTTGTAACACTGTGGTAAGCAACAGACCAGGGCCCCGATTCCCAGAATGTACTGCAGCACTTTAACCCACACTAATGTCAATAACTTGGAGAATTCAGACCCAATTTATTAGCAGGTTCTAACGTAAAGGTAAAAGACAACATCCTTCTAGAAACTTGTTCGTAAAAGAATGAGGAGATTGGATACAGAATTATTCTAAGAGGATTGTATATTCCCATGAGAATGCTCATAAAAAGCCCCATTTATGCATAGATTTGCTGATAGCAAGAATACATAAGCTAGACAGAGCAGGAACAGCTTTGCATGCTTTTAGTCGATTTTCTCAAAAGGCTAAGCATTTTACAGTTCCCAATGCAACAAAACAATCAAGTCATCCAAGGCCTGCAACATACAGCTGCCTTTGGGAAGATCCTAGAGCTTATGGTAGCTCTGGTTGGTATAGACATAAAAGAAAGTCCTGGTGTCCTTTCCAGCTTACCATTGCTGATTTCAGGCAGATCAAATTTAGTGAAGTCCCACCACTGGAGCCGGTAGGTGGTGTTGGCAATGTTGCTGGCCACAGCTGACTGTCCATCCCCAATCACAGCACCTACAGAAAAGGAGGAAATAATTAGCAATTTAACCTCCAGAAGATTATCCAGAAAAGAGCTGGGGAGATAAAACCATAGAAAACCTTTCAAAACCTTTACACAAAACTCTAGATTCTTAAAGAAACCGTATTTACAGAAATAGCAACACCTCCTAAATAAGAGCACAGGAAATTAATAGGAAAGCATCTCCCTGCAACACATTTCTGAAAGAAAAGAAAGTTGATGAGAGATAAAACTTGCCCAGACTCACAAGACAGAAATCCTAATCAATTCATTTGGTGCAAATGCATTCTACTTATTGGTGCTAGTGAAGCTGTGTTTTCACAGACCCAAAATTTTCTAGTACAGCTATGAAGGCAGACCAGAATACATACTAAGGAAAAGTGTTGCCCTGGCAAATCACACACATTTGTGGATGTAATCCCTCTTACTACTGTAAGCTGCACTCCGAAGATACAGGATGCCTACAATATTTGCCACACAGTCACGATTGTAACAAAATATTAGCACGGAGGACCTACAAAAGCTGGCCCTTTTCTGCTCTGGGTGGCCCAACCTAGAGCAGGCAGGGGCTACCCTGGCTCCAGGCAAACGCCATGACCCTTGCTAACCACCCAAAGATTTGGGCAACAGCCCAAAGCTAAGCAGAATACTTCGGGAACTAGCAAAAAGAACATAATTTTCCAGGCAGAAAGGAACTGCCACTGGTAACTCGAGTCAGCATACATTTGAGAAAGCTCAGAGACATGAAATGCAATCCCTAGGGAGACAAGTGCGGAGAAGAAACAGTTCTCCCATAATAGTACTAGAGTCAAAAATCTCATGCTATTTGCAGTCTCTAAGGCCTTCATATACATGCAGCCCTTGTACTACACACACATGCTGGCACCCAGAGAAACTCAAGGTAATAGAATTTGATAAGGGAGAGCAAAACAAGATCATCCCCAAGCACAAATGAGGAAAAACACAGCCTCCAGAGCCTACGCAGTCTGGATTTCAGCATCTCCACACTGTCTCCAGTGGGAAGCACACAGAAAAGTCAGTGGCTTCACTCTCCCAGAAGGGCTGGCTCAGGACTCTCCTGCCAGAGAAGAGGCATCACTTTAACAACTCTGTATCCAGTACACAGCAGGCCAGCTGCCTGTGCAGAGAGCTAAAAGCTTGCTAACTGCTAGTAAATGAAAGTGGTGTGGAGGAAGATGAGGAGACTAGGGTGGCTGGATTTTTACTTTTCTTATCAAACCCCAGCAGAACACTCAGGCTTGTACTGAAAAGAAAAGCAGAACACTCAGGCTTTTACTGAAAAGAACAGAAGGAAAAAAAAAAAAAAAAAAAAAAAAAAAGGCCTGAACACACACACACAAAAAAAACCCCCCAGGGTTTATGTTTTCTCTGCAACGTAAAGAACAAGGGGGAGCAGGGCAAACTAGGGAAGCAAATTCTAGACCGGTGCTGATAAATAAAGAGAAAGATACCAAGGAGGCTGCTGCTAGTACTCTTTTCATCGATAAGCTGTCTCGAGTCCTGATTTTTGATTCTGGAGAAAGCTCAGAAATACACCAAGAGCAAGACTTCTGAGCAGCCAGCTTTACACTGTGTACTCAGCTGTGCCAGGCCTCCAGCAATCAACAAACCTCCACCGCGCATCTGCTCAGTCTCTGTATCTGCCTCTGTCAGATGCGCGCATATCACTGGGAGAGCAGAATTAAGAAGAGAATTTCCATTGCTCTTACATAGGCCCAAGGCCTTGTTCTCCATATTCCCCAAAACAAAGGGCGCCTCTGAATTGGAGAAAGCAGATTCAATGCATTAATGAAATTACATTTTGCAACCAGAAGCGGAAGGAGGACAATTAAATTTTATGTTGCTTCATCTCTAAAAGTCTCCTCTTTGCAAGCCCGGGTTTGGTACACAAGGGAGCTCTTCAGCTGTCTTGCCTCCAGCCACCAGGTGGAGAACAGAAAACTAGTTTCTGCACAAATTTCAAGCAGTGGGACTTGCTGCAGGGAAACGGTAACTAACATCACCAACTAGGCAGCAACTGCCTTACAGGACCGAGTCAGGCAAGGAAACACTCCGCAAAGACAGGCAACAGAAGTACTACTGAGGGCACATAATTCCAGAATACTGATCTTATTACAGATGAACATTACAAAGTCATCAAGTGGTCTGCAATGAGAACCACCTTTGCAGGCAGAGCAAGTAATATATAAACTGGAGAATAACATACCTAGGAGAGTAATCGTGCATTCCCTCTGCATCACAGAAGCCTAGCAACATCACTAACTGCTCCACAAACAGCAAGTTCATCTGGCTCATACAACTGTTGCACCTACTGCTACATGGACCATAAAAAAAGCTGTCAAGAAATGTTTTTGAATTTTTTTTCTGTAAAGATTCTGGTCTCCTCCTCTCTTACCCTGGAACCTTCAGGTTAGTTATGGTGTTCATTTAAACCTCACATCCCCTTCACTCCAAAGGCAGTCACATCCTACACGGAAAAGCTAACAACGGAAAAAAGCAATACCTCCCCTTCTACAGGACAGCCCTGCACGAATTTCAGAGCCAGCAAAAGCTATCAACTAATGCTAGGGCTTCAGGTAACAGATACCTTTATCAAAAAGATTAGGACCCAGGGAACAAGGTTCATAGAGTGAAAGGTGCATGTTCAGAAGGATTTGGTCCACTTCTCAAAGGCTCCAAACCAGTGTGCCTAACACTAATGGCAAATTCCATGATCTACATGTTTTTATTAAGTCATTACCTCTACTTACACTAATTATGTAATTGAGAAGTGTAATTTTTAAATTATATCTAGCTACATATAACAAAGTGGAATAACATTTGTATCACAAGTCCTGCCAGAAGCCTCCCACGTGCATTGTCCTACAGTAAAGATTAAAAGCACGCAAACACTTCAGATATTCAATTTAGGGAGGAAAATACCCCCCAGTACGCAACTATGCTATCCTAACCTTTGTGGTTCGCTTTTTCCATTGGTTGATAGGGAAGATTTGAGACCAGGGGTGGAAAACTTAAGGAAGTCAAAATCCTCACTCAGAGCTTTTGCTCACCGTGCAGCGTGAACACTCATTCTCAGCTGACTTTGCCCAGCCAGGGTTTCAGCCTGGGTGAGAGCAGAAGAAGGTGCTGTCGCCTCTTAAGTTCTAGTGTAACCTGGAGGCAAACAACACACTTCAGCTTCATAAATGTGGGCAGCAGCAGATCAGCTCTTACAAGCGGCAGTTCTCACCAAGCACTTGACAGTCTGTCCTGATTCCTGGTCTTCCACTGTTTGATGGGATCACAAGTGACTGCAGTGGGTACCCGAGGGTCTCAGGCTTGTCATCCCCACGAACAGAACGACCTTTTACTGCAGAGATGATGTAGATTTCAAAATGCTGAAATCCAAAGCAAAGGCCAATTGAAATGCAGTGAACGTAGGTTTGATTGGCAGCTTTCCTGCGTCTGTCTATCACTGCGTAATAAACACTGGGTGATGGCAGAAATGAAGATAAATGCTTTCAGCAGCTCCTCCTTTCCCCCCACCGCCCCGATCTCCATCCACCCCCACTCAGCACATGACAAGAGAGTTTAAAGAGTGGCGGGGGGGGAGTCTTAACAAAGACTTAAAAAAAAAAAATTCCTCGAATCTTGTCTTATAGGCCACCTACACGTGACAGATATTTATCCGTCAGTCTCAATCCCCTCAGAGGGTCCAACTCATCTTGGCATGTGGAGAAATGAACCTTTGCCAGTCAGCTATTGCTCATTTATGAATCAAGCCGTGCAAGCCAATTCTGAGTTTAGACTGAAAGGGGAAAAAGCGGTGCAAAACCACTTTCCATGGCACTCCAGCACTCCTTCAGTGAAGAGCAGGATACTTCCAGACTACTACTATCAGACTCTCAGAGGAAGAGCTAATACTCTAGACCTACACAGGCTTTGGGGTACAAGTTTCAAGAACATGGAACATCTACATATTATGGGAATTTCTTTCCCATGTATCTAACAGAAACCAGAGCTCAATTCTTTTTCTAGACTAGATCCTTTACTCTTAATTTTAGTGTCTGGCAGGTGCCCTCATAGCAAGAGAAAAATTTATTAAGATGCTTACAGATAAGCTTGAGGAAGCTGGAGAAGTCCCTGAGCTAATTTGTGACTCAATTTGAGACAGTGATTAGGCCCTGGTATAAAATTCCCCCTAGATCAGTACTTGCATCTTTAAGCATGACTACCTTTGAAAAGTAATTACCTCTTTATGAGCCCATTTGTAACTGTAGCTAATGATACTGAGGTTATCCTACACTTGCAGAAAGGGTCTACCACAGCTGACGAGTTTTACATTTACTCGTTCTAGATTTACTACAATCCAAGCTCCAGGAAGCCCAAAATACAGGACAAATCTATTTGACCAACCAAGCTTACATTTACTCGTTCTAGATTTACTACAACCCAAGCTCCAGGAAGCCCAAAACACAGGACAAATCTATTTGACCAACCAAGGATAAAGCTCTTTGCTGCAAGAATACACCAGACTCTCTCAACCAGTTCTGAAGCAATTTGAATTCAGCTGAAATGTGACTACTGATCTCCGAAGCCTAGTGGAGATGTAACAGGTTCTTGCACATCTCCGACCCTAAAGTATTTTTTGGGCCAGCCTGGTTTTGGGGACTACCTTTGATCACAGTAAATATATTAAATCCTGAATATGAATTTGACAAATCCCAGCAAATCTGTGTTCCAGGCTACCACAAAGACACTGCCTTTGAAGTGGCCGAGCTAACTATCTAAAACTGTGCTAATGCTGTAGAAACAGTATGCATAGCAACCTGGTGTTTTCAAGGATTCATTTTGCTTTCGATGTACCAGCAAGCTGTAAATAGGAAGTGGGCAAAACAATTTTCATGAATGGATGCACAAAATATCACTAAGGGTAGTTCGGCATATGCTAAGCACTGAAGGGATCTTAGACTCGATGTTAACTGAGAAAGCCCCAGAGAGTTCTGTACTGTCTGAAGCCTGAACCCTTCAAAAGGCTATTATTTTTCCTTTACCCCAGATGTACAAAATAAGAAGAAATGCAATTTCCCATTCATGCTCATTCCTATTGCAAAATTTCCTTTTAAAAGGGGCAATGCTTAGCATGCTGAGTTCCACAGTGCTATCAGCTATGGGAATTTGAGCAGGCCTCAGCTGCAGGTAGTGAAGACTGTCCTAATAGGAGCTCAGTCAAGTGCCCAAGGGCTTCGCTGACATTGTGAACAATGCAAGCATCATATAGGAAAGGGAATTTTCCAGCCACAAGTTTCAGACTTCAAAAGGAAATCAATTTATTGGCAAGAAACACAAACAACAAATGAACACGTGCCCTGCCCAAAGCGTCCATCCCCAGTACAGTCATGATGGCTCCTTGACATCTTACCTTCCTGACGTTAGAGATCTTCCTTTGTCTGATCATATAACAATTAATACAGAAATGCATCTGGAAAGCATCTGTCTTTGATGGTAAGGTCCAGTTTCAGTTTCCCTCCGGGAAATTAGAAGAGGTTAAGGTCCTTTTCAAACGCATTCCCCTCTTGTCTGAATTGTTTGCACTTCACCAAGCAAGCTGATAATTTTTCTCCTTAAGAAAGAGAATTCCCACTTCTCTGTTGTTGTTCACCCCATAGAGATGCCCCTGCTCATGTCACCCTGCCACACACGGAAGTTGGAAAACCAGATATGAAACAGCATGGTGAGTTTCCAGAACCAGCAAGAGTTGAGCCAGCAATATTGACATAGAACTTCTCAGACAAGGAAAACCCTGTACTCTCCTCGGTGACAAATAAGGTACCTTATCACAGCCTTTGCATATACACACTGGAGCAAGCAAATGTCACTGTTTAGGAAGTCCTCATCCTACTCAGGGTGACCATTAAGGAACAAGCAGTTTCATTTCCTTGCTGTAGCTACATCAACCCTCTCAGCTACTGCTAGTGACAGATCATGGTCTAAGTATTCAACCTGCCAAGAACTTTCTGCAACTATGCAATATCAGAGATGCACTGCTGAACAGAAGAAAAACCAACCAAATAAATTGGAAGGAATGCCTTCTTCCTACCTCCTAAATCACTGCCAATCAACATCTCAAGTACAGCCGTGTCACAATGAAAGTCTGACAGGATTTAAAACAATTTTTGCACGCTATTTTTCATCTGTAAGATTCATAATCTCTCATGCCATCAAAAAAAAGAAAAGGTAGAGAGAAATACCATCTGAACCGTAGGCATACCAGAGTGTCTTACTCGCACCTCACCTTAGCGATGAGCGGAGAGCAAGACAACCGCTCAGCAACTGCTGGAAAGGAGAAGAGATGAATGAGACAAGCAAGAGCCTGACTTTGGCAACTGAACACAAAGTAATACTTGTATCTTGTTACTGATAATAATTATTCAGCTTATGCTTCAGAGTATACTTCATTTGCATAGTTTAAAAGCTCGTTCTTGCAGGGCAGTAAGTACAATTCACCAGAGAACTGAAGCCTCAAATCCTGCTTGCAAAAGAAGCAGAGCTGCAAGTCTTAGTGGTGCTCTTACATTTGTACAACTCAAATGAAGCCCGTAAGTGCAATTTTCTTCTTTATAAGAAAACCTTTACAAACAGGGACTGTTTAGGCTCAGCTGTTTGTTTTCTCATTTGTCATTTATGATGCTTTTAGCTGCAGTGGATGGGAAGTTCTGTGGAAAGGCTCCACTATACTGGTTGCTTTACACTATGTAACGGCACGCATGCATACACATTTTAAACAGCAAAAAAAACCCCCATTTGTTTAGGGACCACTATGAGACTCCTGGAATTCTGATACTGGGTACAGCACTGGAATGGTATGTAAAGAGATGGAGGTGCTCCATGAAGCACACGGGTGGAAATAAATGTTATCAGGCTAGACAGTCAAGAGAAATCTTCCTGCAAATACAGATGCTGTATCATTAAAAGAGCTTGACAGGAAAAGGTTATGGAAACAGAAAGAAACATCTGTTACTGTTGGCTGAAACAGCTCACAAGTTGTTTGAGAGGTGGGTGGGCAAACAAGCTTTCTCTTTTCTCATTTGGGCCCCTTGCTGGGAAGGGGAGTCAAGGCTGGAGTCTTCTAATCAGCTGACTGCTGGGGCTGTTAAAGGAAGTTTCTGCAGGCATTGTTGCTTGTTTTGAGACCATTTCTTTATTTCCATGTGACAGCAGCATGTGTTAAAAGCATGCCTCATACCACCATATGATTCAAGCAGTAAAACATGTTTCCTACAGTATAGCCTTTTAGGGCAAATATTCAAGCACTAAAAATACGTTCCAATCTGCATTTTATTTAACTAATGTTTTGTTTCGATCTTTTCTGCATATTTTCAGCCTTTTAGATGATTTTGTCTGTATGCATAAAGAAGCCCTAACAAAAAACAGTGAGTAAAGGGTTGGAGAAAGGGCTTTACGCTTTCTTCCTAATTTCTGTTATTCCATACACCATAAAATCCTCTGATACTTACAGAATCAGCTATAAGAGCCATCAGCTACTGCCCTGGCATGGAAGCCAGAAACCTATTTATTGGAAAATACTGGGGAGATAAAGACAACTTTACCTTGTCAGTGTGAGGAAAAACAATAATCTGGGTTACAGTCACTTCTCCATCTGGAAGTCCGTATCAATCTACTAAAAAATCAGTAACATAATACATCTGAAATCATCTCCCAAGCAACTGACACTGCAAGAGAAAAGTGTTTTCCAGAATTAAACTGGGAGGGGGAGCAAATGAGGCCAGGACACACTGCTAGATGAAAAGGCAGAAGAGAGCTGAACTTTGCAGTCTCTAAGGAAACATGTATTCTCTTCCCTCACCCCTGTTTGAACCCACGCACGAGGGCACGTTCACAGCCCTCCTCCCTTCTAAGCTTCCAGAAACAGTAGGCGACTCTCCAGATCAAAACGCCACATCTCTCCTGCCAGAGTTTAAGTTTCACAAAATCCCTGAGAAGGTGAACTAGGAAGGTCTCAATAGCTAACCTGTGCTCTGTGTCGCTCAGGCTCCTTCCTCTGCCAACTCTGCCCCTTGCAATGCCTCCGCTCTCTCCCGTCACTACGTCCCTTGCATCATTTCCAAGCCCTTCATTAAATGCTGGTGGAAGTCTGCTTTTTAACCTTCACATCTGTGTTTATTCTCTGCACAAAACCAGAGCGAAATCTGTGCCTGGCAGGCATTTCTTTTTGTAAAACTCCTTCTTCTTTCCCTTTCTGACTTTTCAGAGCATGAAATGTGCCTGCTAATCCTAATTGCCTCGGACGGAGAGTCTTGCAGAGACTAGACAAAGGGGGCAGCCTTCCACCACGGAGCTGTGAGCAGGCACCAGACTCTAAGCTCTCGAGTCTCCA